CGAGGGTCCCCAGGAGTCCCGCGGGTCCTCTCTGAGATGGGCGGGGCCCCGCACCCCACCCCTGCCGTCTGCGGGGGACCCGGACCCTTCCCCAGGAGCGGCGGCCCCACAACCTCGCAGGGAAAGCGGGCACCTGGGGAGGCCCCGCAACTCGTCCTTGGCACCCCGCTGCCCTCTTTGGGACCTGTGGGGTGACCATAGCTGTGGGAAAGCGCACGCTGGGGAGAAATCTGCAGCAGCCTCGGGGACGGGGTCCTCGGTGTCTGCAGGGGGTGCGATGGGACCGCTCCCTGAGGGGTCCCAGCCCCGAGCACAGAAAACCCCAACATTACCAGGGTCGGCAGGGCTGCCAACTTACTGAAAGAGTAAGTTAGAAATCATTGTGTCACAAATGGACATTTTGATGCCCAAACTGTGGGAAGGCCACCATCCCAGACTAAGAGAGTCTTTAAATAGAAGGCAGGAAGCTCGGGGTGGGGGGTGGGGGGGGTGAAGAGCTGTCCTTCCTGTCCCCAGCCCCGCCCCCGCCCCCACCGGGCCGCTCGCAGCCCTCTCCAGCCTCTGGGGTTTGTGGTCTGGGCCTCTCAGGAGGCCTCGGTGACCACAGCAGCCACCCCATCCTTTCATGATTCCTCCTTTCCCTCCTCCCGCTCTCCGTCCTCCCACCATCTCTTCACTTGTCTTAACAAGTTCAAGGAATCGTGATTGTCTGTCTTCTAACCCCCCCACCCCACCCCCGTTTGTTTGTATATTTATTTATTTTTAGCTCCCACAAATAAGTGAGAACATGTGATATTTCTTTCTGTGCCTGGCTTATTTCACTTAATAAAATTTTCTCTAAGTCCATCCTTGTTGCTGCAAATGGCAGTATTTCATTCTTTTTTATAGCAGAGTAGTATTCCATTGTGTAGATATCAGCCCACCCTCTCAGACCAACTAGTTTCTGCACACCCAGGCCCTCCTGCCCATGGGGATCCCCTGGTGGGGGTGGGTGGCCTCTTTGGAGCCATCTGGCCCTTCCTCCCTCTCCGTCCACTGCCTGCCTCTGTCTGCTGTTGCAGGAAGAGGTAGGGCCATAACCCAACCCGTCACAGCTCAGGCAGCTCAGAGCTGACCTGATCCTGGGAGGGCACGAGGGGGCATCTGGAGGACAGGATGGAGCTGGCAGGACTCTATAACCCCCACCCTCCTGTCTGTGCTCTACGGAGGCCTCCCCGACACAGGTCGGGGACAGGCCCTTAGGGAGAGGGACCGGGACCCACCACTGCTACCTGCTTTAGCCCTGGCTTCTGCCCTGAGCAGCACTGCCCACTTTGCCAGGTGTCCCTTCCTCCCCGAAACACACCCCCAGTGCTCTTGAGGACAAGCTGCAGTGAGGGACAGCTGTGTGGCCTCAACCACAGCCCTTCAGGGAGGATGCAGGTCTAGGGGAACCTGGTGGGCGTTCCTGGACTGAGAGTGGCCCAGGTCCCTGTAGGTCCCACAGCCCTGCATGCTGCACAACAGCCCTCCGAAAACCTGGTGAGGTGACCACATTGGATGGGGAAGCACATGCGGGAGCAACATCTGGGGCATACTCCTTGAGGGTGGGGTCACAACTGTGAGAAGGGGCCCGGGCCATCTTCCTGAGCAGCCAACACCTTGAAGTGGTGGTCCTCAGTTTCTGAGGCGGGCAGAATCTCCGCTACCCCCCTCAGCCCCATCTTGCGGCGGTCAGCACTCCAGCTGTCACACAGGAAGGTGCTGGCATCTCTATAGACTCCTTTAGAGACCGCACCCTTTGCAGGAGGCTGCCTGGAGCTGCACGCAGGGCTGGGGCTGTACCTTTCTCACTCTGGGGTCTCCAGCTTGCCCTTTCCTCCTCTGTCTGCCTCTGTTCTGCTCTATTTAACTGCAGTCATGTCCTCGGAGCCTGCACCAGACTGTCTGGGTTCAACTGCCCACCTCTGTCATCCTCCCCCACGCCTCCATTCCCCTGTCTGTAAAATGGGGACAGTGACAGGCTATCCTAGGCTGTAGTCAGGGCTGGACAAGTCAACACGTGCTAAATTCAGACAACAGTGCCTGGCACACATGACCACCCATCAGCACTCTGGAGTCGTGACCCAGCCACACCCAGCGTGGAAGGTCAGAAAGTGAGCTCCATTCACCCCGCCTCTCTAGAGGATGTGATGATCTGGGGTTACCAATGAGAACGCATGACACGTTACAGTCACACTGGATGAGGGATGCAGTCCCCCAGCTCTCTGCCCGCTCACCTGCCAGGGCCCTGGCGCAGGGAGATAGCCAGAGTGCCACCCAGGCCTTGCAGAGCCCAGTCTGTGAAAAGGCCTTGGCAGTAGCTCCTCTGTCAAACATCTACGCAGCCTGGTCTTTCAGATGAGGAGTCTGAGGGTCTGAGTGGTCAGGAGACTCACCCACAGGCACACAGTGGGCGATGCTGGGCTGGGGCATGGCTGCAGTTCTGGGTCCACACCCTAATGTCCACCCTCCCAGAGGCCCTGACAATGCTGTCAACTGTGCTGAGCAGTGACTACACCATACCCCGCTGGCCTAGTGCTTGCAGGCATTGCAGGAGGGAGTGCATGACGTGGAGATGGCACCTCTGAGGGACCCTCACCCCTTGCCAAGGAGCTCACATGCGCCCTGAGGCCAGAGGAGACAGGAGGCCTCCAGCTGGAGGAGGGTCAGGAGGCAGGGTCAGGCTAGAGTCCAAAGTCCCTCAGGCTGCATGTGGGGGGTGGATGGACACAAGGGGGACAGTTGGAGTGCCCGTCGGCTGCCCATCTCAGGTGGGATGACGCAGCTGCTCCAGGAGTGGGAACTGGGATGATGCTGTGGACCCTCCATGGGCCGGGCTGAGCCTGCTCTCCCCGCAAGGGTGCTTGTCCCCATGGCACCACTCGCACCCTCCCAACAAAGCATAGCCCTGGCTCGGGGGGCTGGGGGAGACCAGGGACAGTGGGCAGAGCTCCCCACGCTGCAAAGCGGCCTCTGCCCCTCTCAGGTCAATGACTGTGTGCAAGTTACCCCTCCCACCCCCAGAGCAGACGGGTGGGTGGGCCGAGTGAGAAGAGGGCTGGCCCTGCCAGCTGCCTCCCTCGGTCCTGACTGTGCAGCCTATGGGGGCCACAGGACACATCAAATACAATGCCTGGGGCTCATGGCGCTCAGGCAGATGGGCGCCAGGACGGAGCGGGTGGTGGGTACGTCCAAATCAGCGAGGGCTCACAGCCCAGCCCTGCCCCCCAGCCTGCGCCCATGGAAAGCAGGTGGGGCACAGGAGGAGGCTGAGCTCTGCCAGCACGCAGCCCCCCCACAGTCAGGGACCAGGCTGTGGTTCCAAATATTGCGTTTACTTGTGGGGACAATGGTGGTGCAGCGGAGGGGGCCATCGCCTGGGTTGGGGGCCAAAGCTGGGAGCCTGTGCTTGGCTGAGGGCCACCCCCATGGGGAGAAGGAGGCTTGGCCAGACTCCTGGACCATGCATCTTAGCTGCATCCTAGGGAGGGCACAGGACGGCCTGCAGGTCTTTGGGCAGGGAGCCGATGACCGTCTCGATGTAGAGCTGTGCCCGCTGCAGTGTCACCTCCTTTACAGGGAGCCGGTGGCCCTGCGCCCGCACCTGCAGGGGAAGCAGTGGTCAGGGACAGGTGCACCTCCCTGCCGGGCTGGTGGTGGCTGGGGCAGAGCCAGGAGGCAGCTCACCAGCTTCTCCCGAAGTTTCAGGACTAGGTCTACCACCTCCACCTCAGACTTGTCCTTCATCCAGGTCTCAATGTTCTGCTGGGGACAAGATCGAGTCCTCATCCCTGAGGCCCTCATCCCTGCCCTGGGCCACCCCCAGCTGGCCCTCTCTCACCGCCTCAGAGATAGCCTCGAGGTGCAGTGCCTCCAGCTTCTGGGCCATCTCTTTGTGCCGCTGCCGGTACCAGCCGTCAAAATGGGGGGACTTGAAAAACCGCCTGTGGGTGTCGAGAGGCGGCAGCTGTGGGGCAGACCCCGTGTGCCAAGGAGTAGGCAGCAGCACCTGCGCCCACCATCTACCCACCTGTAGAGGCCCAGCCAGTCTCCCTTGAGAATGCAGGTGAGCTGGGGCCCCGCGTGCTCCAGGCTACGCAGGAAGTCATCCTGGCTGAAGGGGCGGATCTGGGGGGGGGTCTGAGACAGGGGCCAGGTGAGCACCTCAGCTGGCTGGGACCCTCCTCCCAGTACACTATCCAGACACACTCCTCGCCATGTCTGAAGACCCTTGGGGCCCTCCCAGCCTGGGACAGATCCCAGGATGGCCCTTCCCAGGGAAGAGGCCCCAAGTCCCTCTAGGGTTCCTGTAAGACCCCCTCCCTCTGGCCCCCATTTCTGTGCCCTGTGAGGGATGTCTGGTGGGGGCAGGGATGGCCTCGAGCCTGGTGGGTCCTGCACGCCCATGGCCCCCCCACCTCTACTACTAGTGGCCACCTATCCCCCAACCTTCCCTCGTGAGGGATGTCTGGTGGGGGCAGGGATGGCCTCGAGCCTGGTGGGTCCTGCACGCCCATGGACCCCCACCTCTACTACTAGTGGCCACCTATCCCCCAACCTTCCCTTCTCTGGGTTGTGGACACAAATCCACCTTCCCCTGATGCCCACCTTCCAGGGTGTGATGCTCTTCTGCAGGGGCATGAGGCTGGCCATGTAGTGCTCCTGGGGGTGGAAGGGGAGTGAGCCTGGGCTGCGGCCCCCAGGCACTATCCCCTTCTGCCCTGGGCCTCACCAGGGGGATGATGAAGCTCTGCGTAAGCTCCAGGAGGTGCCGCCTCAGCAGGGCACTCTGCACCTCTGATGGCCGCTTCTTCTGCACACCCTGCAGGGGAGATGTGGCGCTGAGCCCCAGGGCAGCCCAGACCCCCCTGGCCCCTCATGCCATTCCACACGCCCGTGTGCCTGGCCCCCCACCAGCTGGTACCTTGAGCAGCCGCTTCAGCAGCGCCTTGTCCCGGTGCAGGTGGGCTGTGTACGCAGTGTAGAGGCCTGGTGGGAGGGCAGAGCTGCGGCCCTGTCCTTCGGGGTCCTCCCTCCCACACTACCACAGACCACCGACGGGCAAGGGTGGTGTCTGATCTGCCTGCAGCCCCTTTCTCTTGGACACACATCGCCCGCCTTGACCCTAAACATGAGAGGCTCCCTGAAGAGGAAAACGTCCCCACCCCTGTGAAGACTCTGAGCTCTGCTGCCTGAGTCCTGGAAGACGGGGAGGGGTCAGCAGGGGGGACCTGTCAAGTGCAAGACAGCCCCTCTGCAGGGAGGGGGCTCCAGCCTGAGGGGAGCACAGACCTGGCTTGGTGTCGAGGGTCTTCAGCCTTGAGGGCTTCTTTAGCTTGACCTGCTTAGGAAGGTCCCCTAGGAGACATGCCCAGTGGCCAGGCCTCAGTGCCAAGCTCTGGCTGCACCCATGGGCTCAGAGGAGGTCCCAGGGCCCAGACCATCGCCCAAGGTTCTGCGCTGGAAGAGGCTTCTGAGCCCCCCACCTGCACCTCCCCAGACCTCTCACCTGACATCTTGGGTTCCCCGACCCGGAGGACATGGGGCCAATGCTGGAGTGTTTTGATAAAGAAAGGGTTTGTGACCCCCAGGACCACATTTGGTCTGGAGAGAGAGAGAGAAGAGGCAGAGGCCCAGGTGGGGCGGGCATGGGGGGCATGGGAGCCACACCAGGCCAGGCGGGCACGGGTAGAGGGCTCGGCACTTACGGGGCCTGTGTGCGTGTTGTGAACTCCTTGAACTCGCTGTCATGGATGGTGAAGTAGGGGCGGAAGTCACAGCAGAACTGGAGGGGCTGCAGGCAGCTGCATGGGTGGGGGCAGCAGGCAACAGGTGAGGCGGGGGCAGCCTGGGCACAGCCAGGACCGTCCAGTGCCACCAGCCCGGGACTGGGATGAGACAGGTACCTGGTCAGGGCCAGCACCAGCTCTGAGGACACGTCGGGCGAGGGTGCCCAGACCACCAGGGGCTCCCCGAGGAGCATGAGCTCCCACAGCATCTGCACGTGGGTCAGCACGGGCCGGAAGCACCTGGTGCCAGGCAGGGCAGTGGGGGGTCAGGCAGGAGGCCAACGCTCCCTGTCCCGCCCACACCCCCAGGTTGGCCCTGGAGCCTCTCTAGTGCACAGGCCAGGCCCAGCCTCCGCTGAACATGGGGCATCACCCCAGTGGGAAGATGGTGAGGAGGACATCTGAAGATGAGTGTGCGTCTTGGGCCACCAGGGCCACCCATGCTCTGGACAGTCCACCTGAGTTGGGCCTGACCCTGGGAGTGGGGGCCTTGATCTGGTCCCAGCCTGTGAGGAGCTGACAGTCCTGCAGTGGCCTCAAAGCTGGGGCATGCATCCACTCAGACCCCTGCTGCCCATCACGCTGTGTCCCCTATGCCTTGAGCCTGAAGCCCTGGCTCCTGCTGGGCCCAGATTCCCTTGTAGACATGCCTAGAGAGGCAGAGGGGCCTCAGGCAGGGATGTCTCCCGACAGCCTCTCCTTGCCATCTGCTTTCTGGAACTTCTTGCTGGCTGTGCCCACCTCCTCTGGGTGCAGACATGTGGCACCCGTTTTCTCTTCTACATAGTTCTCCTTGCAGAACTGTCCCCAGGATCACTCACGGTGAGCAGCCCCTCTCCCGCAGCAGTGCACAGCACCCTGCAGGGCTCACCTGAACAGGTCCAGCTCATGGACGCTGGCAAGGACCACAGGGGCTGGCAGCAGGCTCTGAGGGAAGGAGGATGGGTCAAGGCCAAGGAGAGCTTCGCAGCCCCTGTCCTGCCCCCCTCCCCAACTTAGCCCCGGGGAGGGTGGGGAGCACCGAGCCCTGCACTGAGACATGGCCCAAGGCTTTGCCTCGGTTTGACCACCCCAGGGTGGGCCAGGGAGGCAGGTGTGTTCCACCTGGCCCAGGAGTGAGACGTGCTCAGGTGAAGCCCCCTCCCTCGGCCCTCACCTCTTGGCTGCTCTGCTTCAGAGGACTGGGTTCAGGCTTGTCCACCCTGGATGGGATGCGTGCCTGGGGAGGAAGGGAGCAGCTGCCAGGGGCTGGGTGTCTCCATGTACCCATGGCGCCCGCTCCTTAGCCGGTCAGCCCTCACCTGGATGACAACTCCCATGACAGGTAGGTTCAGGATCTGCCCTGGCAGGGGGGCCGGCCACTGGTCAATCTCATTGCAAACTGTGGACATAGGTGGCCAGTGTCAGGAGCCCTCCCTGAGGGAAAACTGCGTGCTGAAGCCCGCCAGGGCTGCACTGGGATGACAGTGTGCTGGCCCTGCCTGATGGCCACTCACCTGCTTCCAGGCAGGGCGTCAACTTGTCAAAGTACTCGGGGGCAATCAGGCTTAGCAGCGCCTGGAACAGCCGGACAAAGGGCAGGCGGGACACCAGGACCAAAGACTGTGGACGGCACGGCTGGTCAGAGGGCACCTGGCTTCAGATGTCACCCTGGCCACACAGGAGGCTGCAGGGACCCCTGAAGCTAGCTTACCCAGAGGTGGCTCAAGGCAGCACGTCCCACGAACACCACAGGAGAGCTGCCCCAGGAGTGGCCCAACTAGGACCCCAGGGCCTTCAGAGGGAAATATATAGTGGCCAAGATTTCTGAAATGATCTCCCCAGTGTTTGCTTTCAGTGTTTGACTGAAGTTGTCCTAACCCTGGAAGTGTGATGAGAACCTCCAGCCAGCAGTGAGGAACAAGGGCGTCCTGGACCCAGACACAACGGCCTCGGGTGCTGTGCTGGGCATAGTGTCACACCATAACTGGCCCTGCTGCCCAGGTGGGGCTGCAGGAGAGATGGGCAATCCTGGAGGCTCCGGACCCCCAGCCCGCCCCACAACCTCTCCTGCTGCTGCCAGCCCCTGCCTCTCAGTGGTGCCACCACGTGGCCAGGTGGCTTACCTTCTGGAAGTAGCCCCTCTTCATGGAGCTGTCCTTCACCTGCCTGAAGTACACGTAGCCAAAGTAGTGTGCTGGCTCCCTCTGGAAGGAGCATGGGGTTAGCAGGCCATGCCCGGCCCCAACCATCCTGCTAGATGCAGGACCCAGGCTGGCAAGAAGCAGGGGCAGGGGGTGCAGAGGTGGGGAAGCCTGGGGAACGAGGAGGCTCAAGAGCTGCTGTCCAGCACTCTGAGGCCTACCCTCTGGCCACCAAGATGGAGGCCTCCCCAGGACGGACCTGGGTCCCTGGCTCAGAGGTGGGCAACACCACAGAAGGGAACACCCCTGCTGACACAGCAAGGGGTCAGCACACATGGAGGGGTTGGGGGCCAGAAGCCCTAGAGGCCATCCAGGCCCCTGCTTATCAAGCCACACCCTGTTCAACCATAAGATGCCCAGCCGCGGATGCGTGGTGCAAAGGAAAAGCTCCAGGGACCCTGGTGAGTCCCAAGAAGAGCTGGCCCTCCACTAGCTGAGCAGGTGCCTGGGCCTGCGGGGCCTGCGGGACCAGCGGGGCTCACAGAAGTTGGTGACCCCACCAGATGGGCCTGGCCGGCACCTCTCCTACCACACAGGACCCAGGTGCTTTGAACGGGCTGCGCACACCAGCCTGACCCCAGCAGGGCCCCTGCGGAGCAGGGGAGGAGTGGACCAGAGAGGCAGCCCATCACTCACCTGCAGCGCTACGGGAGCTCTGCTGTTGTAGTGCCCGTCGTCGGCATGCCAGGGGCTCCTCTGCCCTCCACACTGACGCATGCGGAAGCTGAACTGAGTGTCCCCAAGGCAGCCTGAGAAGGGGCAGCCCCTGCGTATGTCAGAGCTGGGAGCCGGCCCTGCCAGCATTGGAGCTGGGGACTAGGGGCAAGGGCCTCTGCAGGGCTGGCCTCTGCTGGCATAAATGCCCCAGAAAGCCCAGCCTCAGGGGTCTGTTTCCCACTGGGCTTCCACCCTGTTCCCTGCATGCCCCCAACCTAAGGGTCTCAGAATAAACTCAGCACAGAGAAGCACCTTCGACTTCTTTGTGGGAGGTGACTCAGACTGCCTAGGACAGAAAACCAGGCACTGGAGGAGGGCTGCCCAGAAACCAGTGCTCCAGGGCTGGGAGCAGGAGGGTGGACCCAGCTCCTAGTGCCTGCTGTGGTGGGGTGAAGGAGACCAGACCCAGCTAGTCCCCCTGCCCAGAGACACCTCTTTTCACGTGAATCTGGGGAACCTGGCCACCCGGCCGCAGCATGGGACTCTGGGTGTCTCCATGGAGTGGGGAGCAGGGCTGGTGTTACCCATCCCTGTGGCACCCTGGTGACCCTGAATGGCGTGATGCCCCTGGCCTGGGCTACAGGGCTTCCAGGTGGCCCCATCTCCCCATCTAGCCTATCACCTCCCCAGCCCCAGGAAGAGTTGGGGTCACCTACCTGAGTGGGAGTCGGGAAAGGACAGGTAGCAGATGCTGCTTTTCTGAAATACACAAAACTCAGTGAGGGCCGACTCACTCCTGGGCAGTGTCCGCTCCCAAGAGGGTGGGACCCACCTCCTTGTCTGTGAGCTGGAAGCTGCTCGGGTACACCAGCTGCAGAGGAAGACAGAGCACTTGCTGACACTGCATCTGCCTGAGGAGGGGACACCACTCACCAACATCAGCAGGTGTGACGCGGCAGGTGCGGAGTCTGTTGGGCCCCTGGCCCCCCTCCAACTTCCCTACCCATGTGCCATCTCCTCCAGCTCAGTCCCTCCTGGCTCCTCCTCTCCGTGACCTCCAGGCACCAGGCCCCAGTGCACTGCCCCACCAGCCCAAGGCCAGCATAACTGGGTGGGCTTCCTGACTCTTCTCTCACAACTCTTGTCCTCGTGGCTACCCAGCCAAGCCTTGCTGCCTCCTGCCCAGACTGGCTGTGCCTCCCTGCTTCCACCAGCCCTGACGGTCTGCTGCCTGAGCATCAGAAGGGATCTCAGGGGTTTCAGGGCCACCCGCAGCCTCCTCTCTTGCCTGGCTGGCCCTCCACCTCCTTTACAAACCCCCCAGGAGAGGGTCTCAGGCCATGCTGCTCCCCCAGCCTCCTCAACCCCTCCTGTCTCTGCTCAGACATCACCTGACCACACTGTGGCAGCTCCCCGCCAGACCCTCCCAGCTCCACCAGGGCCTGTGTCCCACCTATAGTGCCTGCTGAATGACCGTCTGGATAAGCCTTGCGCCCTGTGAAGTGAACGATCAGTGAAAGCACAGACACTAAGCAACAGGCTCCAAACAGTCCAGAAGACAGGCTGAGCCCAGAGAAGGCAATGGGTGGGGGAAGGCTGCGGCTCTCGGCACCAGCCTGTGGCCAGGATGGCTGTCCCTGGAGGACGTGAAGCCAGGGAGCACCCATTCCCAGTGGGCCGCTGAGGTGCCACAGGGCTAGCCACCCAGGAAGCAGCTGTGCCTGGCGCCTGCTGGGGCCTTTGTGCGAGTCTCCCTCCTCATTGAACTTCTACACTGAGGACTGAATTCAGGCTGAAGCCCTGTTCTGTTGGAATGGCATTTTATTGTCCTTCTTTGGTCTGGCTTGCTGCTGTGGTCCTATGTGTCGCTCCACCTGCGGACTAAAGCTCTGGAAGACAGGAACCCTGTCCCCGCCACTTCTGCCTCCCAAATACAGTATTTGTGGAACATGTGAAAACACGCCTGTGAGGTACGCTGGGATAGGTAGGTGATGCTGGAAACCGTGACATCAGAGGAGAGTGTGGTCAAGAGGAGGGAGGGAGCAAGGAGTGGGTGGGAAGCCAAGAGGGATTTGTCGGTGGGGCTGGACCCACAGGGGTGCCTCAGGATGGCTCCGTGAGGGGCAGGGCCACAAGACCACTCAGGCCGAGCCTCTTGTGTGTCTGCATCAAGAGGAAGGCTGAAGAAAGGTGGGTGCCTGGCAGCTGGAGCAGGGTCACGACAGGCCCTCTGCACCTGGCTAATGGTCACAGCAGCCTTGCAGCATCTGAACAGGTCACCTCGGCCTCCGAGCTCCATGTCCATGCCCAGAGCCCCATTGGAACATCTGACCAGGGAAACCCACGGGCTGGTGTATCCTCTTCAGGAAAGTGGCTCCAGGATCCAGGTGCAGCCTAGAGGCTGATTGCTGAGCCAGAGGTCAGGCCAACCAGGGTGGCCCTGTTGCAGTGAGGGGACCCATGGAGCAGACCCGCAGAGCAAGCAGTGCCCACAGGCCAGGCCATGCCTGCTCAGGGCTCTGCGAGGGTCTTGTCTTCTTCACTTGCGCCAGCCGGCATGGCTCACTGCTCCTGGTGACCCTGTCATCGGCGTGACCTTTCTTTGGAGAAGGAACCTCTAGACAGTGGTCTGGCTACCCTGTGGGTCCATGAGGTCAAAGCTGCTCTCACATGGCCGTGCCTCCTACACCCTCATCTTCTCACTGTGCACAGCGCGCCACGCAGAGGCTCTGTCCTGGAAGACTGACTGTGAAAGCTGATACCAGAACCAGGCTGTCTTCTGTTCGGCCAGACACTGAAAAGGTTTGTAAAAGCGTCATACGATGCCATTCTTCTAAAATTGTTTTTGTTTTGGAAACAGGTTGTCTGTTTTTTTGGCAGGTGGCCGGTAAGGGGATCTGAACCCTTGACCTTGGTGTTACAAGACCACGCTCTAACCAACTGAGCTAACTGGCCAGCCCAGAAAATATGTATATTATTTCTGTTAATACATAGGATGTTTACTGTTTTTTTTTAAAAATAAAATTAATATTTTCTAATTTTCTCAATTATAATTTCTAACATAGTAAACATTGATAGATATAATGCATGCAAACAAAAGGCTCTTTGAGATCCTCAATAATTTTAAAGAATGTAAATGGGTCCTGAGACTGCACAGTGTGGGAGCTACTGTCTGAGCGGGTGTGGAAGGGACTCTTTGGGCACTCTGGTCGCAGGTCACTCCAGAGGCCTCCTGGATGAGCTGGGATATTGAGAAATGAATTTTCAAAATCTGAGATGGCAAAGCCTCGCTTTCCTCAGCTGACCTGCACATACTGGTTGCCCCCACAGCTCTGTCTGCTGCCCTCTCAAGCTGGACCCCCTGCCTCACACAGAGGGTCCACTGTATCCATCTGCATGGAACCCCTATGCTCCCTGTGAGTGCTGGGGTGTTCCTAAACCACTTTCTGTCTGTGTCTCTAGCACAATGTGAACTCCTGCAGGACAACAGCCTTGTCTTCTGGTTTACTTCCATATCTCCAGTGCTGGGCACTGGCTCTGCTGGGCCTGGCTGGTGATAGCTGCTCAATACTTGATTTACTGAATGAATGGACAACTCTTTGCCTTTGGTTATGTTGGCTTTGCGGGGGGGGGGGAGGCAGAGGTACCTGAAACGAGCCCCCTTCCCTGCCTAGCTGCCTCCTTCTCATCCCCCAAGATTTACTTAGCTGAGCCCGTTCCTTTCTGAGCTGCGTCTCTCCCAACTAAAGTCTCCTGGAAGGCAGGCAGCCCTGCATCTTCCTTCCACATCCCAGCACCAAGCACGGGCCTGGGGCTTCACGGCACTCAGCCAGGCTGAGCTGAGAATATGAGTGCAGGTCGACTGAAACACTCCCAATCTTCCCCATGACTTCCAGGGGAGGGAGGAAAAGCAAGAAGCAAATCTGATGAGGATCATGCAGCCAAACCACCAATAGACTCACTGCTAGGTTTCTGCACAGACTGAATGATCTGGAGGGGCCAAGGTCACTGCTGGAGCATTTCAGAGGTGGCCCTGTATCCCAACACTCCACTGGCTGCACTCCAACACTGTCCCTCCCCTAGAGCTGTGCAGCCTCAGCAAAGGCTCAGCAGCCCACACAGTCTTTAACAATACTTGCCAAGAATTAATTTTCTGAATGGTTGGTTAACTTTTAGAAAATTATATGTGAAAATGCCTTAAGGAAACAGAAAAACCTATTCTCCTGTGACTTTATGGGGAGCAATTTGGGCAACAGTATTGAGATAAGAAGGTGGGTTAATCACCTTACTTCTCTGTACTCAGGTGGTGAGTCAAGTGGTGTCATTTGCAATAGCACGCCTGGTGGGGACAGTGTGTGGTGGCATGAAGTCTCCACGGAGAGTGCTGGGCATGGTGCCAGGAGCCAGAGTCCTTGCCAAGAATTATATTTTCCTGTTTAGAGGACTTTAGACTCCTCATGGCCTTGCAGAGTTCAACGGGCCTTAGAAAGCATCTCCCAACCGCAGGGACACGCTGAACCAGCTTTTCTTTCTTTTTTTTTTTTTCCTTTTTGTCTTTTTTCGTGTCCGGCAACGGACCGCAACCCTCAGTGTCGCGCCCGTACCGGACCGGGACCGGCAACGGGATCGCAACCCTTGGTGCCGCGCCTGCCCCTCGCTCAGCCAGTGAGCGGGAACCGGTCTGTATGTGGGATCCGAACCCTCGGCGGGAGCGCCGCCGCGCTCCCAAGCGGCGCACTGTAGCAGTGCGCCACCAGGCCGGCCCTGAACCAGCTTTTCTAAGGATGACTATTCAGCCTCATTTTGGCCAACTGCAGTAATGGCGTGTTCGTCTCAGGCTCTCAGGTTCCTTCTGATGGTGCGGTGAAGTCTTCCTCCCAGCCACCTCCACCTGAAGGAGGGCCTCTTCTGTACTGGTCAGCTCCCTGGTCTATGTCATGGCCCTCGGGGCACAGAGAAGATCATCCTGACTGGACCTGCAGCATTTTCATCTACCCCTGGAGAAGAAAAGCTACCTTTGTGGTTGGGTGAGGGAAGACTACATGGAAGGCCCCAGGCCTGGCCTAGAGGTGGAACAGACGCCCAAGGGCAAGAACAGCACAAGCCGAGGGCGGAGGGGCAGGGGCCGATAAGGTCTGGATCTGATCCTAAGTGACCGAGGAGGTGCTGCAGGATTTTAAGCCGGAGAGCCACAAAGGTTGAACTCTGGGGGGCAGTTGGTAGGGGGTGACATCGGTGACGGCAGCAGAGACAACGGATCTTGGATTCCTGCTGCAGGGAGAGCTTTGCCCAGGAATAGAGTGCGGCGTGGAGGGAAGGGACGAGTCGAGGGTGACGCCTGGGACGCTGCGGGAGCAACTGAGGGGTGACAGGTTCTCACTGGAAAAACCAAGCGTACCCCCCGGGCTGTGCAGAGTGCAGAGCCCATCTCCGACCTGCCCTCCCTCCCTGCACTGGGGGCGCTCCCGGTGCCCTGACAGCGGCCGCGGAGTCGGAGGGAGGAGGACACCGGCGGGACGGGGGCCCGCCCGAGGCCCGGCGCCGCGGCC